ACCCGATAGAACACCTTTGGGATGAATTAGAGCGGAGACTGCGAGCCAGGCCTTCTCGTCCGACATCAGTGCCTGACCTCCCAAATGTGCTTCTGGAAGAATGGTCCAACCTTCCCATAGACACCCTCCTAAACCTTGTGGACAGCCTTCCCAGAAGAGTTGAAGCTGTTATAGCTGCAAAGGGCGGGGCCAACTCAATACTGAACCCTACAGAGTAAGACTGGGATACCATTAAAGTTCATGTGTGTGTAAAGGCAGGCCGACCAATACTTTTGGCAATATAGTGTACTTTTTATGAAAACTTTAAACTTTTTAAATAAAATACTGAATAATAAAAGGATGTTGTTAAGGATGCCAGTGGGTGCACACATGTAAGCAAGGGGGTGGGGATAAAAATGACTTGGGGTTCCCCCCAATTTATACCAAGTGAGTTCATTTAACAATGATTTGCTACACCCGTGTATTTGGCATTTGTGAAATTTTGTACCATGTCAGAAATGTATTCAAGCAGACTTATGAAGTGTCTGAGAGTTCCACTTTAAGTAGTCTTGCAGGCACGCGATTGACAAAATGCCTTAAGTGCAAAAAGTTTGGGTTGTAAAGTGTCCCCTGCCCCTGTCTAAAGAAGCCGGGAGATGTTCTTATAAAAACTGCAATAAAATGAATTATGTGCCAGTTAAGTAGCTCCACTACAAGCACACCTTAATAAGGAGGATATTTATTACAGCTTGGTAATTAGTTTCTGGAAGTTTCTCTTTTGCTGTTGTTTACAGCTGCTCAGCAGTTTTATTTTAGAGCCGATGGTGTAAAGATAGATGAAAGAAAATGATAAATCTGCCCTGAGCGGGACTGAATATAAAAAGAATTTACAGACATACTGAGCTCTATAAATTGGCCAGAGAACAAAATAAAGCAAAGCGTCTCATAAAAAGGCAATACACTTCATAATACAAACAACTGCTGAACATTTTATTAATAAAACAAAACAGTATTGAGATGTTCTCATGGGTAAAATACAGGGAAACAACGAAAAAAAAGGCAAAATGTACAGGAATATACAGCACCTAGCAGTAGGGATGAGCAGGAACCCGGACATGACCGAACCTGGAAGCAAGTTGTCACTCCCAACAAATCAGATCAATGCCACTTATCAACATCAGTCTCACCCCACAAGCCAGAGTACTAGGTGTCATTCTTGACTCCAATCTGTCTTTCCAGCCCCAGGTCCAATCGCTGACAAACTCATGTAGACTTCACCTCCGCAACATCTCCAAAATACGTTTGTTCCTAACCCCGGAAACCACTAAGTAACTCCTTCACTCCCTTAATATATATATCACGACTTGACTACTGCAACTCCCTTCTCACCGGCTTACCTCACGGCAGGCTATCCCCGCTTCAGTCTATCCTGAATACTGCGGCCAGACTCATCCACCTTACTAACCGCTCCGTTTCCGCCACCCCCCCTCTGCCAATCCCTCCACTGGCTTCCGATTGCCCAACGGATAAAATTCAAAATGCTAACATTGATGTACAAAGCTGTTCATAATACTGTCCCAAACTACATCACCGACCTGATATCCATTTACCACCCAAAACGTACTCTCCGCTCCTCACAAGACCTCCTACTCTCTAGCTCCCTGGTCTCCTCCTCCCATGCCCGTCTCCAGGACTTCTCCAGGTCTTCCCCCATTCTCTGGAACTCCCTACCCCAATCCATCAGACTATCACCTACTCTCCTCACCTTTAGGCGCACTCTGAAAACCCATCTCTTCAGAGAAGCCTACCCCGCCCTCAGCTAATTGCCGATCTCCTCCACTCTTCCTACCACTCCATCCCCCACAGCTATCTCCTCCTGTACCACTATCCCCTCCCTCCTAGATTGTAAGCTCCAAGGAGCAGGGCCCCCGAATCCCTCATGTATTGAATTGTATTGTTACTGTACTGTCTCGTGTACTGTCTCCCATTATATTGTAGAGCGCTGAGAAAACTGATGGCGCTATATAAATCCTGTATAATAATAATAATAAAGACCATTGACCATGTGGCCATTGAACTATATTAGGCCAATGATGTTAAAAGCATCCCCGACCCTTTATTACATACAGCTGCGGGGAAGGGAATGCCACAGCTAATTGGGCACTGATTTTGTAGGAGTACCAGCTTGTTTTAAGGTTCAGTCTGAACCTAAGTTTGGACCTAACCTGTGCTTTTCCCCACATTTCAGAACTGGAGTCCTCGTTTGAATCCTGGTCATGATACTATTTCCCTATGCTTACATGGCCTTTCTCCTGGTACTCTGGTTTCATTCCACACTAAAAGACATGCTGGTAGATTAATTGGCTCCTGTCTAAATTGTCCCTAGTGTATGTGTGCAGGTCTAAAGTCCCAGCTGCACCTCTCTATGGCAGACCCTGGTAACATTCCGTTGAGTGACTAATGCAACTCTGGCAAACATATCAGGCATGGAGCCACAGAAAAATAAAGTTCCAAGTTTAGTGGTGCACCAAAGATTGCAACACAGTCATGGTAGTAGAGATGTTACAAGAATGTACAGGAAAAAGACTAAAATGAAGTCTTAAAATGCATAGGACTCGCACTCCCTGATCAGCGTTCATCCATTGTTGTAGTGCAGCGGTCCACTATATTCCCCCTTGTTAGCATGCTTTTGTTCTGGGAAACTCTTCTTTGTAAGTTTACAATCCAAAGGCACATGTTCCTGCGTTAAAAATGGCTGTATGTATAAGTGGGTGCTGTAGTCAGCTGGAACCGAACAGAATCAGCAAGGGAGAATGTCACCAGCACACTGAGGATCACCAATATGGGTCCAAAAGTTTGAATGAATGATCACATAGTTACAGCAAGGCAACATTTTGGAGTCTCGCAGGACCTCTTCATCAGGCATGTCAAGGGGTACGAGAGATTCCCAAGCACACCCAGTGTTGCCTCTCACATACAGAAAAACATGTATCAAACTGTTGATACTAATATATTGCTTGCAGCCAGGGGCGGACTGACAACTCATGGGGCCCCCGGGCAATAGGGGATCATGGGGCCCCTGTGTCCTTGCCCAAACTCAAAAAAGCTTATGAAAAAGGTACCAGGGGCATCTCATGGGGCCCCCTACTGACCCCGGGCCCTCGGGCAGTGCCTGAGTTTCCAAATGGTCAGTCCGACCCTGCTTGCATCCACTAATGAGATAGAATGTGACCCACCACTGCCCTGTATGGACCCATTCAGATTAATGAACAGGCATTGGGTTTCTAAGAGCAGAAGAGGGATATAGCATTGATCTTGTAGCGGTCTTCTGGGAAATATAAGTGAAAGGAGGAGGTGCTTGGAGTTGTGTCTGATTTGCTCTTCTCTGAGAAGCATTGGAGCGTGCCCGGAGTCCATTAATCATACAAGGAAGGATCCATATGGCCATACCCAGAACTTCCCAGATCTACCCTGGCAATGCTGGCTTGTTGCTTAAATTACCAGTCCAGCCCAGTTCTCCGGATTTCCAATAAAGTTGTAAACATAAACAAAATTTTGTGACATGCCATTTATATTTCGATCAGAATGACTTTGGCCTTTCATTATTCATCAGTGAAAGCACCAAGTCAATTTCCCATCCCATTGTGCTAATTTCCAGGTCAACAAGTTCAAAAAGTTCCCAGGTATGCATATGGAACAGTGTTGGCTGGAACTGGATAAATCTCATCTTCCAATATTGGAGGTTATGTTATTTGTTTAGGAAGAGGGCAACATTGAAAGCAATGTGGACTCAAAGAAGGACCCTACCAGGAGGATAAGGGAAGACCCGGTCAGGTGTAACATGACCACAAATTTGGGAAAGTGAAGGGGCTTTCTGAATTTTGATCCCTGGCCAAAGTGAGGCTTTAACATTAATATCTATCTGATGCTAGGTCCACTTCAAGTTCTGAAAGTATACACATAGTGTTTAGAAAGCAGACTTTGAACAAGTATTTTAAATCCATAGAAGTCTGATTTGGAGGCATCGATGGACAAACAGATCATTACAGTTTATGCTTGGCCTGCCTGGGAAAAACATGTATGACCCCTGCATGCCACTACATAACCTGCTCTGCTTCTTCCCAAGCTATATAAAATGAGTCCACTGGAGCTCATTGTTCACACAGCTGGAGAACCTATCCATTCTTCACAGCGAGAAGATAATGACAAAAACACAACGGCAAGAGCAAACTAGAGACATTTCCGACCACCACTGAAGAACTTTGATCTCCTTTCCTTTGGATCTACACATAATCAGGATGAAGTTACACTTGACAGGCAGTTGTCTCTTCTTGGCGTTCTCACTCTTTCCCTGCAACAGATTGACTGCAGAGAACCCGAGGGCAACAGATGATTATGGATTTTATTCATGCATAAAATGCTGACATATTCTGCAGTGTTTTTATACAGAACACTGAGCCATGGACATCAATCAGAAGTATTCAGTGCTGTAAGATCAGATGAAGAAAAGGCAGCAAATGTCCCTGACACTCCAGCTAAAGTGTCAGTCTTGGACAAAGTGAGTAAGGTTAAATCGGGTAAAGCAATTTCAGAGATGGGCAATGAAAATAGTGCAAGGTCTAAGGGACAAAACATATTAGGAACTTAAAATGTAGAGGCGTGAGGAAAGAAGGAAAAGGGGGGCATGTCTGAGACCTTTATGCTGAACTCCAGGCATAAACACTTTCATTTAAATATACTTTATAATAGCCACAAAGAATATAAATGAACATTGTGTGCACCAAATGCCATATTCAAACTCAGATATTACCTTGGAAAGGTAGCAGTGACATCATCACTTTGATGTGCATAGCCGGTGTAGAGAGTAGAGCTGTGGGGGGGGGGGGGGAAATCAGGCTCCACCCACTACAGGCTGCAAGCAAAAAACTACAGGAAGGGGCGGATACAAGAGCAGTCACCCTGCACAAGGAGAGAGAGCGGCAGTGACCAAGGGCGGACTGACCATTTGGAAACTCGAGCACTGCCCGAGGGCCCGGGGTCAGTAAGGAGCCCCATGAGATGCCCCTGGTACCTTTTTAATAGGCTTTTTTGAGTTTGGGCAAGGACACAGGGGCCACATGATTCCCTATTGTCCGGGGGCCCCATGAGTTGTCAGTCTGCCCCTGGCAGTGACCGGTCTGTATTACAGGAAGCTCCTGCACAGAGGTGGTCCAGTAATCACACTGGATTAGTACATCTCTGGAAGAAACACACAAAGCACATCAACATTCAAGGAAGAATTCACATGACTTTCATAACTCCACAATATTTGCTTATTCCAGGGTTCAGCATCAAATACCTTAGGAATGTGTATAAGGTCCAAGAGGCAATTGTTTTTAATTTGAAGTTGAAATCATGAATTTGGGAGCATGATCTTACACCGGCAGGAGGAAGGATCAAGGGTAATATTAGAAAGTATTATTTTACTCGTGAGAGGGTGTTAGTAGGGAGAGTCAGCTGCAGCACTTTCCACTAAAAACACAGCAAACTCCTGCACTTTGGGATGGACTTGGCTAGGGTTATGGTAACATTACAGATATCCTGGAAAATGCACTCCTTGCTGCCCTCAATGGACTGGGGTAGTCCTATGTCACTGGATGCAAAGAAAAACAGAGGGCGCACTGGCCTAGTGGATTATCGCAAAAAAGTTATTGGAAGGATAAAAAGTAAGTATCGTACTCACAAAAGGCGAACAGCTCAAAGGCACATCACACTAAACAGCGGTGTCCAGTCCAAATTGCATATAAGTAAAAAAACTATGGATCCCTGGACTTCCAACAGGCTAATGCGTTTCAAGGTCTCAACCTCTTCCTCAGAGCCAGTTGGTGGCTCTGAGGAAGGGGTTGAGACCTCGAAACGCATTAGCCTGTTGGAAGTCCAAGGTTCCATTTTTTTGGACTTATATGCTATGTGAACTGGACACCGCTGTTTAGTGTGATGTGCCTTTGACCTGTTCACCTATTGTAAATACGATAATTACTTTTTATCCTTCCAATAACATTTTTGCGATAATGCACTAGGCCGGTGCGCCCTCTGTTTTTCTTTGCATCCAGTGACATTGGACTACCCCGGTCCGTTGAAGGTAGCAAGGAGTGCATTTTCCACTAGGCCGGTCTGCCCTCTGTTTGTTTTTCTTTGCATTCAGTGACATTGGACTACTCCGGTCCATTGAGGGCAGCAAGGAGTGCATTTTCCACTAGGCTGGTGCGCCCTCTGTTTGTTTTTCTTTGCATGCAGTACTTTCCACTGCAGCCCACCTCTTTGAGGCGTACAGCTGAACTATGCCAGGTTGGACTATGTCTTGGCATTCACACAGAGTACAAAGAATAAAGCAATCACGTGATTACTACAGTGCACTAGTGGGATTCCTGTAGAGGACTGATTTGTCCTCTGTAGTGGGTTCCCTGCAGCCATCCTGGAAAAGCCTGTGCCCACCATCTTAGTGAGGGAACCATGGGAAGTGGAGTGGACAGCATAATGTGAAGCAATGAGTTTAGTCGTACACTGTGGCATCCTCTAAAGAGAGGGACTACTCCCCATCAGAGTTGAGTCTTTCATAGGAATTGTGATGCACAGGTGACTTGATTGCAGTGGCTTCCCCTTCCTGGAGGGAAGTGGGTGAACCCCAAAGTCTAGCATGAGTACCCATGATGTTAAGCCTTCTGAGGACAGACATAACAGAGTTTTTTTTTTTACCAGACTAACTGAGCATCTGTGACACTGTAGGTCCTCATGCAAGCTGGATGTTTTTACAGCGGCTGTTTTTGGATTTTGACATTTTTCTACAGTTATAAACCCCCACAGCATGTTATGCTATGTGTCAATGCACACGTAGACTGTAATTAACATTTTTTTGATGGGACGTTATTTGGCTGGAAAAAAAAAACAGGACTGGTGGGTTTCTAGAGGAGTTTTTTAGCTGTAAAATCGCTCTAATGCTGAAAAACGCGGTAAAACGCCGCACACCGGTATTTTTGGACTTTTTTTTTACCAAAAAACATTTTTTTTTCTGATAAAAAACAGATAAAAACACGGCAAAATGCCGCTAAACCCTAATGCAAAACTGCTAAAATAAGCTGAAAAACTCACATTTTTAATGTGACTTTACACAACTAACGTTACCAGTGTTATCAAAACGTCCCATGTGCATGGAGCCTAAGTATCTGTGGACTAGCAATCCTCGAAGATGTTTGTCCTTTTGGAACTTGGCTTAAGCCATCAGACTGGAAATGCCTCTTGGTGAAGAAAAAATTGTTTTCTAACAAGCTATGTTAAGGCAATGCTCTTAAACTGCAATCTGAGCCCAATATTAGGAACATTCTATGTCTACAGTGGACTGGGGTAAAAAGTGAGAGTGAGCAGAGTCGAAAAGTTACTCAGCACCATCATGGGTTCTGGTATGTAACCTGGTAGTGGGTAATGACCGCTGTGACATGGGGTGCATAATTTTCCCTTCTCCTCAAATGTACTGTAAACCTTGTGCCCAGCTGTCTCAAGGGCCACATTGTTGCAGTGCGATCTGGAGCCAGATGTCTGGAGCTACCAGTGAGAATAGAGTCCTGCTAAAGTAAATGTATCCCTGACAGCACTGAAGCCATGTAGACAGGATCCCTGAATTTAGTGTCTTGGTTCCTGTCCTCCGTTAATTGCCATAGAAGGGGCCGTAACATTTTAGAATAGTTGTATTCCAGCCACTAGAAGGAGCTGTCTTAACAGCTTGCACTACATTACTGAAAGAGAAGTGGATGCTTGGAAAATTGTACAATGTATGGCCAGTCTTAGTTCCAAGAACACGCTGACACTAACAGTACTGGTCTCACATTAATGATCAGGAACCACACTGATTGTGATCCCCTTGAGAGCCAATTATACTGATCACATGGGTTTGTTTACAAAAGAGACCTGCTGGAAGTGTTTTTTTTCAGGCAGAAAACCTCTCAAGCTCTTACTATAAGTAGCTTTGCAGATGTCATCTTGTTGTACCTACAGAAGGCAGGTATTACGGAAGTAAAAGGCAGCAGATTTGGAGGTGAAAGGTAGAAGTCAAGAGAAATAGAGGTGAGCAGAGCAGGAAGGTTTGAAACATGGAGGAGGGAGGTAGGAGGCAGGAAGTATGAAGGATAGAGGTGAAAGGCTGGGAGTGTAAGGGGAAGAAGGTAGAATGCAGTAAGTGTGGAAGAAGATGGTACGAGGCAGTAAGTGTGGAAGAAGAAGGTAGAATGCAGTAAGTGTGGAAGAAGAAGGTAGGAGGCAGTAAATGTGGAAGAAGAAGGTAGGAGGCAGTCAATCACGGTAATTACCCGCAGGCGCCCATGATTACTGACAATGACCGACGGGGAGGAAGACTGTTTTGTTTACAGTCTTCCTCCCTGTCAGCTCAGGGAACACTGCTCTGGATGGCTGTGCAGTGTAAGAGGCAGTAAGTGTGGAAGAAGAAGGTACAAGGCAGTAAGAGTGGAAGAAGAAGGTAGGAGGCAGTAAATGTGGAAGAAGAAGGTAGGAGGCAGTAAGTGTGGAAGAAGAAGGTAGGAGGCAGTAAGTGTGGAAGAAGAAGGTAGGAGGCAGTAAGTGTGGAAGAAGAAGGTAGGAGGCAGTAAGTGTGGAAGAAGAAGGTAGAATGCAGTAAGTGTGGAAGAAGAAGGTACGAGGCAGTAAGTGTGGAAGAAGGTAGGAGGCAGTAAGTGTGGAAGAAGAAGGTAGAATGCAGAAAGTGTGGAAGAAGAAGGTAGAAGGCAGTAAGTGTGGAAGAAGAAGGTAGGAGGCAGTAAGTGTGGAAGAAGAAGGTAGAATGCAGTAAGTGTGGAAGAAGAAGGTACGAGGCAGTAAGTGTAGAAGAAGAAAGTAGAATGCAGAAAGTGTGGAAGAAGAAGGTAGGAGGCAGTAAGTGTGGAAGAAGAAGGTAGGAGGCAGTAAGTGTGGAAGAAGAAGGTAAGAGGCAGTAAGTGTGGAAGAAGAAGGTACGAGGGAGTAAGTGTAGAAGAGAAGGTAGAATGCAGAAAGTGTGGAAGAAGAAGGTAGGAGGCAGTAAGTGTGGAAGAAGAAGGTAGGAGGCAGTAAGTGTGGAAGAAGAAGGTAGGAGGCAGTAAGTGTGGAAGAAGAAGGTAGAACGCAGTAAGTGTGGAAGAAGAAGGTACGAGGCAGTTAGTGTGGAAGAAGGTAGGAGGCAGTAAGTGTGGAGAAGAAGGTAGAATGCAGAAAGTGTGGAAGAAGAAGGTAGAAGGCAGTAAGTGTGGAAGAAGAAGGTAGGAGGCAGTAAGTGTGGAAGAAGAAGGTAGGAGGCAGTAAGTGTGGAAGAAGAAGGTAGGAGGCAGTAAGTGTGGAGATAGGAGGTAGCAAGTATAAGGGAAAAAAGATAGAAAGCAGGAAGTGTGTAGGAAGAAGCTAGATGAGAGGAAGAAGTTAGGAGGTAGGAAGTCTGGATGAAGGGGACAGGTAATGTAGAGGAAGGAGGTAAGAGCCAGTAAGTGGAAAGGACGGAGGTAGAGAGCAGAAAGTGTTGAAGTAGGAGGTAGAAGGCAGGAAGTGTGGAGGAAGGAGAAAAGAGGCCATATTGGTGATCCTGGGTGTGCTGGTGACATCCTCCCTTGTTTATGTGATCTGGCTCCACTGTGTCAGCCAGCAGTGAACTTCTTTAACCACTTGCCTACCGGGTACTTTTACCTCCTTCCTGCCCAGGCCAATTTTCAGCTCTCAGCGCTGTCACACTTTGAATGACAGTTGCGCACTCATGCAACATTGTACCCAAACAAAACTTTTATAATTTTTAAAAAAAATAGAACTTTCTTTTGGTAGTATTTAACTGCTTCCCCGCCGCAGTATAGCAGATATACTGCTACACGCGTGCGCAAAATCACGTATATATACACGTGATTTTCATTTCTGGGTAGGGGGCGCGCACACCCTACCCGCGCCGCCATTCGCGGCCACGGATGTCAATCACCGGGTCCTGGACGGTAATTACCCGCAGGCGCCCATGATTACTGACAATGACCGACGGGGAGGAAGACTGTTTCGTTTACAGTCTTCCTCCCTGTCAGCTCAGGGAACACTGCTCTGGATGGCTGTGCACAGCACAGCCATCCTGATCAGTGTGCTTACAGTGAAGC